ATGAAAACTGTTTTAGTCTCAATGTAAAGGTAAACCAGGCTCATTGGATGCTAGAAAAAACCTCTCGTAATGAATACCCTGGTACCATAACAGATCCCGTCAGAATTTCACAATGACTTTTGATATTATTTGTTAGACGACCAGTCAGGTGCCATCGCAAAGACATCTTGTTGAGTTGAGATTTAATAGCGAGGTTACTACAGCACCAAATTTCAAGTTAAGTCTGTAAGGGAGGGGGGGGTACTTCCAGGTAGTTTGTTGCATCCTCAGCATTGAAATTGTCTTGCTAAATATGCGGATATATCATTTCAATTGAGACCGATTTTTCTTTTAAGGACATTTTCATTAAGTTCAAGTGACTTTTTTTTTCTGTTTTTTTTTTTTTTTTTTTTTTTTTTTTTTTTTTTTTTTGGTTGTTTTTTTTTTTTTTTTTTTTTTTTTTTTTTTTTTTTTGTGTCAGGACTGTGCGGTTAGCAATGCTGTCATTTCTTGATTGGATGACCTCAGGAAAAACAGTACCATTAATACTTCTAGTTTAAATGCCGATTTAATGAATTTTAAAGATGCCTTCCTCTAATCCAGATTCTTGGAGTTTTCGATTCTTAAGTCTTAAAAGTCTATTGGAAAAGTATTGGTATTCTGATGGGACAATGTCCTAATTGACAGGCATGATTTGATTGAACTTAAGGAAAAGCCAACTTTTCCAACACTTGCCATTGTTCGTGCATCAAGATACTATTTCGGTTATGCTGTTATGGGGATCAACATGGAGAATTCTAAAATCTCCACCGACAAGAAAACAGCAGCTCCAAATGGGTTTTTTAGAAGGAACATTTGAATAATCCGCTAAGAATTATTTGCAAAGTGTGTCAACTTCTTTTACTTCATGTGCTGGGGCCATTTATGTTTCATCCCAGAATATCACCTATTTCATTGTTCGTATTAGACCTATGTAAAACATTACAGGATGATGCTTCATTTATTGCAATACGCATCTTGAAACGACCATTGTAAACTTTGCATTCCTCAATTAAATTTGCTGCTATGATTATAGATACACATGGAAGATAATAATTAATTTTTGGAAATCACATAGTGCACGATTGTGTTGTAAATGAAGATTGTAACATTTAATAAAGAATTGATGTTTGGGTAAGTTAGGATTTTTAGAAGTTTTCAATTGCTTTCCTGTTGTTTGTTTTTTCTCGAAAGCCATTTTTGTCCTAGGTTGAGCATTCAAGCGTTTCTTCGAAAATAGTTTTTCGGCAATTGGATCGTAATGTAATATAGAATTTTACAATTTCGTGTTGCCTCGCTTTGACATTAGAATCATTGAGTTCTGCACATACAATTTTGTCATTCCTCCATTCTCCCAGGCTTTCTCTTCCAGGGCCATGAATTGAAATATGTACTCATGAGGTTGAACGCGTTTTAGAAACTCGATGACGTTGTGCACAGTCATAACACGTCTAAATCAAATGTGTTTGGTTAAGTCTTCAAGTATCAATTTCAGTTTCAGCTCAATCCCCTCCTTGCTGCTAATGCTAAATCAAGGTGCCCCATGGTTGCTGAGTGTAAATTCAGTTTTTCCTTATTACCCCCCATTTAGGATGACACACACATTTTACAAATATTTATCAGGTATGCCATAGCAACTTTGTAATTTCCAGCCATATTGCTTGGAGTTCTTTTGAGGGTTGAAAGCAATATAGGTTACAATCATGGTTTTAACAAATAGATGAGGGGCATCATAGTCTTCAGCTCTTATTATGTTTTGATTTTTTTTTTCGAAATCAATTCAAATGGTTTGACTAGATCTTGCAAGATGCATCAACCAGTAATTGGAGAGTCAGCTTTTCTACTTTGTGGAGCTGATGAACGTTTCCCTGAAGAATGGCAAAAATGTATAAATAAATTGAAGCTGGGACACATGTCCTTGACCAACAGCTTTCTTTAGATCTGTTTTAAACCTAGATCCCCCCCCCCACCCAAGCTAAAATCAAAGAGTAGCACATGGGTGATAGAGTCTTCTCAGGTGAAATATTCGTTGTAAAACTTCGCTTTTTGCATGAATTGTAATATCAATTTCTGGGTGAGCACTGAGGCGTACAATTCATTATATGGAGGTTAGGTTCTCTTCCTTATGGCAACATAACAATTTCAGTCTAGAACTCCGTTCCTGCCTCATTGCCCCTATAAGGCTGATGTATAATAAACTAGTACCAATTGAAAATAATCACGAGACGGGTTGAAATGATCAGTATTTTTTATTATTGAAATGTATTTAATTATTTATGTGTTTAGGCATTTTTATTTAGCGCTTACCTTACAGCTCTAAGCACTTTACAATTATTAAAAACATGTAAACTATTTAAACTACTAAAGTAAAATAAAAATAGAAAAAACCAGAGACACTAGAATAGTAACAACTATGTTAAACATGACTATAGAAACAGTAGCTTAAACATTAAATTGCTTTAAAAACGCGTACACATTGGCATCTTTTTGGCCTATACTACACGATCAACTCGAGAGAGAAAATGAGGCAGGCCGAATAGGGTGCATCACAGGTCATAGGCGGACTTAAACAGAATTCACAGTCCATAATAACAACCAACCATTAATTCACGTTCACAGTAGAAAAAAAAAGGAATCTTCTATCTTCAATACGAAGATGCACTAAACTCATGAAAATAATGACTCTCTCGTTAAAAAAATGCCTTCTTGTCCCTCACCATATTTACACACGTCTTTCTCCTCGTGGTTTCATCAAAAACTTAAACCGCCCTGGTCAATGGTCATACGTGGCTGAGAAAAGTTGATGGGATATAAGGGGGGAAAAACTAAATGAAAAAAACTACTATCGCTCACTCATACACTATCAAAACCAGACGCAGAACATAACACGCAACGTGAAATGCACTGTGCAGAACAGAGAAATTTCTCTTCTGGCTGCATTGGTTCTACATTATTTACACTTTGTCCTAATAATTTCATGCTACATTTAAATGGAGTACGGTTTACATTTCGTGTATCAAATCGTTCAAATTGGAGCACGTCATAATCAGAAACTTTAAAAAATACAACTTACATAGCAACAGCTACACAATCAATTTCTACACCCAATACGCTCACTAACGAATCTCTATACCACAAACTAACACACTATCTACGGCATTATATAATAGATTTTAAATGTGTGTGTGCATATATATATATATATATATATATATAAGATAAGATTCTTTTATTGATCAAAACAAATGGTAATGTTTTTTTATTGCATTGCACATTTTCAGCACCTATATAAAGCAATTTGAACACAAGACATAGATGTTAAATTATTTCACTAGTGAAAAAAGCAGCCATTCAGTGAATTCTCTTAGCCATATCAGGGACTTATTAGTTCGCCTTAACATGTGTGACTTCAGGGGGGAGCACGCCGTTATTTCGTACAGATTGGGGAACAAAATAATTTGTATATATTTCAGTCCTCGCCCTGACGGAAAGAATTCGTGCCGAACGGGCCAATCCTAGGTATCTGTGATGAAGAGGGTGGGATGTATCATTCAAAATGTGTTTAGTCTTACCATAACATCGTTCTTCATATAGTTCTTCAAGTGAAGGATGTTTAGTTGGTGTTATGTTCCTAGCTTTCTTGATTAGTTGATTTATGCGGTGTTTAATATTAGACGATGAATTCCCACATAAGCAGGTAATATTTAAATTAAGTAGGCTTCCAATTGTGTATATTTGTGTGTGTGTGTATATATATATATATATATATATATATATATATATATATATATATATATATCCTCTTTTACAGTCAACGCATTAGAAACTATAATATATATAAAATATGCTTCCAAATTTTTATATATTTGTGTGTGTGTATATATATATATATATATATATATATATATATATATATATATATATATATCACCTTTTACAGGCAAAGCAACTGAAACCATGTTCACCTTCAAGTTTCCTAGATGGAAAGACGAGAGTATCAGAAGGACTCGAAACGCAAGTGTGGATTCGAACTTTGGCCTTCAGTATGAAGTATACCAGGACACGCTCCTAGGCAAACAGTTGGTTTATGTTGGGGGTATGGATGGATCTTTCTTTTTTTTTAAAAATAACTAAATATTGATTTTATTTGTTAAATATGAGCAATATTTGGTGAATAATTTTTCATCAATAGAAGGATTATATTTGTTTACATTACATGCCGTAGTCCAAGCTACAAAAGATCAGAGTTTTTGCATTTATTTCCTGCGGTGTATACCTATTATATATTTTTTTTAAATAAAAAAATTCAGGCAAAAGAGAAATATAAACGATGTAAATTTATTTAAAAGTTCCTTCGTGTCCTTGAAACTAATGGATGTATGGATTTCTAGATGAGATATCAGCAGGAACGTTTCTATCCGAGTGTGGGGCTGACAACAGCTCCTGCAACGTGACCGTCAATGTGATAGATATATACAGGGAAAAGGTCAGCTGTATCTTGACTGTGTTTGTGAGTTGCTCGCTCTTTCTTTACACCATTTAAACACACACAAATTCCAATGTAATTTTACATATATTATTTGATTTTATTAAATAGTTCATGAAACGATGCGTTGCAATACTTATGTGCAGTTATAAATGGTATTTCAGTGTGCCAAGGAGTATTTGTTTATGATTTTACTGTGAGTTATTAATTTAATATAATGTATGTGTTAAAAAAAAATTATTTGTTCACATTATCCATTATAAAAAAAAATATATAATTAGGTCGTTAACGCTAAACGCTGACATCGTGTTTTTATTAAAATTTTCGTTTTATATTCCTCAACAATTATATATATATACTATTTAATTGCCTCACCAATATAATATAAACGTATCTATATTTGTTATATTAATTTAAATATTTAAAAAATAAAAAAATGACCGTAATGTATAAAGATTAATTCCAGTCTGCATCTTCAACTACCTAAAGGTTTCCCCAAATTTCAATATAAATTCTCCTGGGAATCCTGGAGGTAATGACAGTGTCGACGGGGTCCTCTCTGTCATGGAGCTTAGGATGAACTCTAGCTTAGACCTGAAGGACCCCATGAAAATTGCACAGCGTGCTGCCGCTTTGTCAAACCTCATTACATCAGTCGTGAGTTGTGCTATAAACAAAGCAGCCCAATATAAAGCTATGTTTTTGTTTTAATTTTAAATAACTAACACATCTACAGTTGCAGGCTTTAATTATGAAAACCAAATGAATTTTTTTTAAAAAAAAGGAAAAGAAAAATTAATAATTAGGTCGAGGTTTGATTGTTTTCAATTGTAATACATTGACAGGATAATACTGTAAGTGGTTCGGTTCAGACAACCACTGCTAACCCCACGAATGATAAAGATACATCTACTGCAAAATCTACTCTGGGTGAGGTATGTATCGATTGCGTCTTAAAGATTTCGAACTAACGAAACGTCGAATCTGTGACATTAAGTCTAAATTTCTAGAAATTTGATATGGTTTTAAAAAAAGTGTTAGTTGTTTTTTTTTTAACACATAGAAATAAGTTCAAAGTACATTGCAAGATATTTGTTTGAAAATACCCCTGATGATATGGTATTAATTAAAGGTGTTTAAATGGTATGTATGAGCGAATTATTGAGAACACAAACAAAATCTAGTCCTGTTTAATTATTTTTAATCTTCAGAAATCAATGATTTGAAACGGAGATTTAACTTTAATAAAACTTTATATAATCACATTTCATTCGTGTTTTTCTTTCTAAAAGACTGCTAATAAATACGTTGGCACTATCGGAAGTGTCATTGATGAAATCACGATAAAAAGTCCTGGACAAGTCCAAATTTTAGCAAATTCTATGGTTGTTGCAACAAATAACACCAACTTCATGTCTACTTCGTCAATGGTAAGCACGTATTCATAGATATATGTAATATAGCTTCTTAATTAACAATTAGTTACAAGGGTTTGAGGTCATGTAGTTTACACACCTTGTTTTATGTAGAAATATTTAGAATTTACTCCATTTTAATTTTTTTGTTTGCTAGGTTTTTATTTTCAAATAATATAAATATATACAAGCTAATACCCGGCGTTTCTCGGGATTGAATTCGGAAAAAAAAACACAACTTCTACAGCCTTTTAATAAACATTGAAATTAAGAGTAATGTAAAAAAAAACAATATTAAGATATAATTAATTAATTTGTCTCCTAAAAACATGTATACTAATAACTTTTGTAATGATAATAGTAATAATAATAACAATAAGAGGTCTTATATAGCGCGGTACCCCAGCCCATAAAAATTTTATCAAAAGAGACATGATCATGACATTAAAATAAAATACATTTATGAAAAAAAGAACAGCAATGCATATTCACCCACCCCACCACATAACTTTTACAAGGCAAACCATGGACTGCAGCCAGCAAGAACGTTTATCGGTCAGAGGATGGGGAATCAGTCAGGGTAGTATAATTTAAAAAGATATGTTTTTAGTGCAGTTTTGCCTGTGTGGTTGGTATATTGCGTATAATTAGTGGCAAAGAATTCCATTGTTTGGGGGCGCAGAAAGAGAGAGATCGTTCACCATATGTTTTAGTGTGTGTCTTGGGAACGGACAGAATACGCGTGTCTGCAGAGGAGATGAGATGACGATCTCGGTGGGATCCCAATCGGATCCCGTTCCCTGATGACATTCCGTCCCCCGAAGCGATCCTGATAGAATCTCAAAACCCTTTGGATCCCGATCCCAATCCCGGTTGGATTCCGTTACTGTGGGATCCCGTTTCACCATTGATCTTGTTTCCCGTATTAACCTCTTCTCCGATGGGATCCCTATCCCTGCAAAAACTACATCATTCTCAGCAAGGTCATGAAATCTGCAACAACTGCATCATTCTCAGCAAGGTCGTGAAATCTGCAACGACTGCATCGTTCTCAGCAAGGTCATGAAATCTGCAACAACTGCATCGTTCTCAGCAAGGTCGTGAAATCTGCAACGACTGCATCGTTCTCAGCAAGGTCATGAAATCTGCAACAACTGCATCGTTCTCAGCAAGGTCATGAAATCTGCAACAACTGCATCGTTCTCAGCAAGGTCGTGAAATCTGCAACAACTGCATCCTTCTCAGTACGGTCCTGAAAGCTGCTGTAACTGCGTCATTCTCAGCGAAGTCTTGAAATCTGCAACTACTGTATCATTCTCAGCATGGCCATGAAATATGCACAAACTGCATCATTCTTAGTAAGGTCATTAAAGCTGCTACAACTAAATCATTATCAGCAAAGTCTTTGGAGATGCAACATTCGCATCATTCTTAGCAAGGTCTTTGCAGCTGCTACTACTGCATCATTCTCAGCACGGTCCTTAAAAATACAACTACCACGGCTTTCTCAGCATACGTTGGTGAGAAGTTACACAAATAATACTCAATACATTGGGACCTGATTTTTTTTTTGAATTAAAAGAAGAATGAGCAACAATGATCGGTTTAAACCAGTCTCTTGTGGCGCTCCAAACTATACCATACACCTAATTTTCAATATATGAGTATAAAAGAAATTAAAACCTTACTAAACCCCCCGGTAGGATGAATGATTCACCAATTGTGATTTTACCGATTGATCAATCGCTATACAATGCACAAAAGTCACCAGTTGCTTCATTCTAAGTATAGAAAAACAATTTTGTTAGGCTCGGTTGGAAAGTCCTTCAAAAGTCCAGCTCTGTTGTGTTGTTAGCTCACAGCACTTTGATAAACTCCAATGCACAGTTAATCGTCACTGAACACTTGACCACCTGTTTTGAACACGAACATAAGTCTCTTTTTGGCTTCGTTGTTTGAAAGCTGAAATATGTTTATCGGCGACTTTTCTTTCTTAATGAATTTGACAAACACAAATAAGTCCTAAACTTTCTTTGGAATATTTCTCATAAAATCACCATTGCTCCACTCGAGAGTCCCAGTGCCCCGCCGCCAAAGATCTCCCAAGGCTTTCAGTGCAGTCAGTCAACCCTGTTACACACTGGCGGCGGTAACGCCCACTTTGAGAACCGTTGATGTAGAGAATACTAGGGACTAGTCGACTTAAGACAATAACCTTGAAAGAAATATTATTAAGGAACACAAAGAAAGACTTCGCAATCAGATGAAGAGTAAAAAGTGATTAAAGAGTAAAGATACCACAGTTATTAAGCATATATTCAGTAAATTTACTTATAACGAACGGAAAAAACGTAGCTGTAATTAAATGAACTATTCTTTCGATGATTAGTAGGCATATATCAAATCAGAGGTGTTGTTTGTAATTTACAGGCATTTTCTTGATCTGTACGAATATTTTTTTCTTATTGTAAACATCCCAAACTCTTTTATGTCGAATTCAATCTGCGTCCCTGGTGGCTGTCTTGATCACTCCCCCGTCGAAACGGTCCAGTCTGTTTGCAACATTTTTCAAACGTCTGACAACTGACATATTAAAAGTAATTTTCTTATGAAATAATGAGACAAATATAATTTAGTTATAGTTTTTTTTAAAATTATGTGGGATTCAATCTTAACGAATAATGTATTCGTAAATTTTCATTGTTAAATAAAATTTAGAGATAATGGTATCAACACACATTTTTTATTTTCTCTTAATTTGAAGAAGAAAAAAATCAACACAAAGAGCAACTCAATTTCATTAAATGAATTTCCTTTAATCATAAATTTAATGTTGTAAAAAATATTATCAATACTTTATTTTTTTATTCATGCAACTTGAGTTAATTCTTAAGTGAAATTTTTTCACTCTCTTTGGTTGAATATTAGTATTTCCAAAAAATGTGGAGTATCGCCATAGTTTCTGGAAAAAATTTTTTTTCAAATTACTAAAGACTAGAAATGCTTGACCCATGTTATGTTTTTATTACATCTTAATTCCGATGAACCTTCAGGCTAAAGCCTCTGTGGCGTTAACAAAATTGACTGACGTCATGAGGAAAACCGAAGACAATAAACTCGACTTTAGTCTACCTGACTTAAGACCATGCCTTGACGGTAAGCCAGAAGAATGATAACGTGATGGGCATTAAATAAGCACGTAATTGATGAATCGTACCCTCGCCTTCTTAAACTACAATAGTGGAAAGAGTAAAGATCATCTTTTTTTATGTTTTTTGCCCGCATTTTTTTTTTTAACAAATGAGACAACGTTATTTTCATGCATTATAAATTATAATAGTTTTTTTTTATTTTTTATAAATTGTAATCCTTTATCTTGATATTTACCTCAGGTGTAATAGATCTGATTCACAACATCATTAGCGCGGGGACTCAAGTATTAGGTAGTCTTTGCTTGAAAGAAAACATCATTTTAGATGGCAGTGAAGATGAGGAGTTCATAACAAGGAAAAAAGAAATATGTCGCCGTGAACAGTCTGATCAACTGCAACAGGTAGGCCTATTATACACCCCGATGGCTTTCTTGAATACTTAAACCTTTGAACAATAATATTTCAATGAGGATTTAATTTCGAATCAATTATTGATCAAAAGTATGTAGGGCCCCTTTTACATTTTAAAAATAGTTACCACATACAAGAAGTTGTTGCAAATTTTTTGAAAAATCTATAGGAGTGTTTATTTGGATGTTCAAACTCCTCCAAATATTTGAATTAAAGACATGGCTCATTTATTCACCATTGGTATTCTCAATAAGCAATGCATAGAAAAAATCGTTTATCTTACACCTCGTTGTAAATTTAGACTAAATATATTTTTTTCACTGCATATAATGATGTTCAAAGTTGTGTGCAAGGACATCAACTGAATTATATATTTTTCACAGGCAGTCAGTATTGCAGCGAACATATCATCAGCATGGGATGATGTATTCACCAGGGCGTTGACTTTAGAAAACCCTGAAGGAAGGTATGAGAAAAACACACCGAGCTATAAAATGGCTGTTCAAAAAGGAACTTTGGCAGACATAAAGAACAGTTCAACGTTTAACAAACCTCTGGGGTTTACCTTTGACGATGCACAAGTTGAAAGTGAAAGCTTAACTACTATTCATCTTCAGGTAAGAAAAAATACGTTTATGTTTCTTGTCCTCATGAGAGAGTTACGTTAGTTGATTATTTTAAATTAACGTATTTTATCACTTTTATACGACCCGTTCAATTTTTTCACAAATCAGTGTAATACTTTGCTGCTCATGAAATTGTTTTAACAAATCAAAATAGTTTCAGCAAGATTCCCAATGTGTTTGATTTAAATTGTTTTCACAGGCTGCTAACAGCTCAAACATTTACTACGAGGGGCTTAATTCTGAATATGTAAAAATTGTTGTGACTGCATCTGCAGTGACCGAAGATGGAACGAAATTGAAGTTAACCAATCCTACCATAGTTCATGAGACAGCAGACAGCAATTGCAGTGTTGAAGAAAATTTTGTTATCCAGCCTGCCAAGTTCATTGCAGAAGATGCATCTCAAATGTTTTATCATGAGATAAATTATCCGTGAGTTTAATTTTAAGCCCATTGTCTATGGATATCTTTAAATTTATTTCGTTTGCTGAAACATTCCACAGAAGTGACACATTTGATCCATTACATTCAATTTCAAAATAAATTCTCATGGATTATTTTTTCCTGAGAATGTATAATTAAAATCTTTCAACATGATGTATTTAAATGTACATTATGTGATACAAAATTTATATAATTTCAGTGAAACTTTTCTCCACCTGTGCTTTAAAGTAAGACCAACAAATCCAGCATTAACATACACATTGTATGCACGAATGAATAAGGAGCCTTCTGATATTACTTATGATCACAAGTTTGTACTATGTGCCTCTGTACATGTTAAAATCTATTAATAAAGTTTTAATAAATTATAACTTAATTTCCTGGCTAAAAGAAAATTCAATAAATATAAAATATATAGCTGATTTCTATAAGTGTTAAACGCATCTAAACTACAGTTCGACTTAATCTGTCTTTGTTCAAAATTGAAAAAAATAATAATAATACAGGTGTTAGTTAGAATTACGTTTCTGTCAAGTGGCTTATTTTGCGCACGTTATAATTGGCTTCAAATTTTAGGAAACCTTTAACCAAAGAAATGCTGCAACCATGCGGGGAAGTTTGTTTTCCTCCAGGAACATTTACAAAAACTGGAACCCTATACATCGGATTAAAACCTGAACTAGGTAAATAGACAGCGGGCAGGGTTTATTAATTTTTAAAGATTTATTCAAATAGGAAAATTTAAAAATGACTCTCATCTGAATCTTTACAGAGAAATCTTTATTAATTTTTTATAACAAAAGGTTCTTTTTCATTTAGTACCAAAATTTAAAGAAGAGATTATATATTAAAGTTGAAATATATGCTCCATGTTATATCCTAATAATATGTTTAGTTTGCAGTCGTGTTCAGTAAGAACATAAGATGAATACCTTTTAGTTTAAACGTTAAATTCATTGAAAATTCACGGGAAAGTACCTTTAAAAGAATCTAAGTTAATGAGCGACTCGCTTTTGGAATTGTAACTAAAATATGTTGCATAATCTATGCGAAAAACCTTTCAGCAATTGCAGGATATCCAACAAGCCAAACTACAGGAAGGAAAAGGAGAGAAGGTAACTTTTATGGTCTTTTTAAATGATTGAAACCGTTTTACGAAAATATTTTCTATTGTAATAACGAGGTGTCATAAAGTGTCCAGTTAAAGAAATGAATGAAAATTTAAAAAGAAAAAGAAATGTACTTGGATTATTATTTTCGCACATAATGCTTTCATGTGATTAAAATCTGATACGAAAATACCATGTTTTACCCAGCAAATGATCAGACTCTGCAATCGCCATACCGTTTTGCTGCGACCATAGCACAATGCATGGGTTTTAATAAAATACTGGGTGTTTGGGACACAAATGTCTGCAAAGTAAGTTAACTCTTGTTATGTTCACACATGTACACATACTCACCGACAGTCAATTCTGCTTAATTTGGCTAAATTCGTTTATGGAAACCATTTACTTGGGATTAATTTAATTAATTTCATCATACATACAATAGTTAATTGTAGAAAATGTAGATATAGTGACACTGCTAAATATATTTAGGGCAGATTATGACTGATAGACAGCAGATTTTGGAATACGGAAATAGACTACAGTTGTAACATCCTTAAAATTACTGCCATTACTCATTAGAATTTTTTTTTAAAATTTCAAACGTGATGTACGTTATTTTATATTTGTTGGTGTTAGTTTAGATTGGTAGGGTTTTATCACAATAACGCAATCCCTCAACCTCCTATAGATCTGGTTTAAAACAAATTCTAGATGAAATTTGGTTACACAGCTCATTCTCAATGGAGCTTTTTGAAGTCATTAAATTTTTAACCCTCAGTATGCTAATAATGATTGCTGTTAAGTTAAATTTTGCATTTGAAACTCATGAATAGATGGTGGATAATTAAAACTGAATCTCAGCAAAACAATAGTGTATTTTACAGAAGTGCAACAAACTGATGACAATACTAACCCACTATTTTAATATTGATTACTGTAAAAAAAAAGTTGGCACTTTTAAACAGTTTATATCATTTATGGAGTTGAACTTGGATTTTTATTCACCATTACATAATATAAATGTTGTATCCACAGATGACAAAATCAAACGGAAGCACCGTATGCACATGTAATGATGACACAGATATCATCAATGGCTTATCATTCAATTTTCTGCCCAACAAAATTCACTTTGGCACAGTTTTCAGCAAGTTCGATATAAAAGGTCAAGGCCTTCTGATCGGCGTGCTTCTTGGACTCTACTTGATTTTCACCATTATTTGTTTGTGGGCTCATTATAAAGACAGAAAAGGGGTGCTGCAGGTACAGCCATTGAGATCTTTGAGATGTCCCGTAAAAATACCTTTGTAAAATTCTGTACTTTCTTCATCGTTCTAGTATTAAAGTAAGAAACTCTGAAAATAAATTATGTCCCCTTTGAGTTTCACGTCAGACTGAGAGTCAATGTGAGCTTCCTGTTGTTACCTCGTGTCTATGAATGACCTTTCAAGTTTGGCTAAAAGTTGAAATAAAATCAACGCGATAAAAGAGTATGAGTAACATTCGTTAGACACAATTTTTCAAATACATGTTCAAAAATACTATTTCACGTGTTGTTGTTGTTGTTGTTGTTGTTTTCCCCAGTGGGGTGTTTTCCCCCTTGCAGACAACTATGCTGATGATAATTATTACTACCTCGTGACGGTCCACACTGGATTAAGGAAATCTGCTGGCACCAAGTCTAAAGTCAGCTTCTGCTTATATGGAGAGGAGGATGAGACAGGGGTCAGAATATTGTCAGATGGGGTTAAAGAGGTAAGATGGATCTAAAAGTAGATTGCCTCACTCAGAAAAATTGTTGCACGAATGAATCATGAAATCTTATAGCTAAAATTCTCTGACACGCCATGTAAGAATTGAGAATTTTTCTTTTGTGTCCGGGAGGACTAGGAAAATAAGATTAATTAATATGAATTATGTTGAGGTACCGTACCAAACCCTTATAGGTAAAATGTAAACATAATGGAACAATATTTGTTTGGGCTTCAAAAAAAAAAAAAAAAAAAAAAAGTACAATTTAAAAGGACGTTCTGGCTAAATGCATTTTCCAGAAGACAAGACAATAAAAAAAAGAAATAAAAATAGATAGTAAGATCAAATCATCTCCGTGTCTGTGTAGAAACGAATATTCCCAGTTCGAAACGGAAGTGACGTTGTTAAAAACAAAAATATGCCGAAATGTACTGTATTTTTTCAAAACCCAAAAATATATTGTTCCACTATTTATTAACTTTACTCGGCTTGAACGCAATCCCTCATATTTTATAGATAACAGGAAAGTCATTAATCTCTAAGTACGTTTTTCATCATTGCTTATTATATTTAAAATTTCTCTTGGCATACCAGTTACGTTCCATGACACACCTGTTACCTTCAATGACACATCTATTACTTCCATGACACACTTTTTACTTTCATGACACACATGTTAATTTCCATGACACTTCCGTTACCTTCTAATGACACACCTGTTACCTTCCATGACACATCCCTTCCATGAAAAGAATTACAAAAAGCTGATAGTAATTATAGAGTAAACTTTAAAACAAAATAATTCTTAACCGAAAAAAAAAAAAGGAGTTGTGCGTGTGTTTTATAAACAATGTTTTTCCAGTTATCCTATCTGTTTATCCAGGGCTTTCCAACAGGAAGTGTTAGCAACTTTGTTATGGCATGCCCATCGGCTCTAGGTGAGCTGCAGTGCTTGAGAATATGGCATGATAACTCTGGCAAGGGGGAAGAAGCTACGTGGTACCTGGACCGTGTGGATGTTGTTGATATTCAAACTGGTCGATCGTAAGCATATGTATTGCCGAGTATCTCATAAGTAAATTTTATCTTCACGTTTTCATTTTTTGTAAATAAATGTTTGTTGAATAGGGCTTTTTTGTCTATATTTCTAATTTAATTTTCATGCTTTTCATTAAAATTCAACAATACCATTTATTAGGATGAGTTGTTAATTTTTCCTTAAAATTTCAGATATCACTTTATTCAATGATATCCTTCACATTTTGTCATTAGAAACTTTTTCCTTTGTGAGGAGTGGTTAACACCAGAAGACAATTCACTGGAGAAAATGATTGAGGTCACAAGTATTGAAGACTTGGAGACATTACGCAGCTTGTTCTTCTCTAATACCAAACAGCACATTACTGATGAACACATGTGGGTCTCTCTGTTCATTAGACCAGAGAGAAGTCGCTTTAGGTATGTCTTTTCATATGGTATTTATTAGAAAAGGGTGGAAAATTCAGACCAAAAAAGTGCTCAGCTTAGTCTCATAGCCATTTTCTGAAAATAAAAGTTAGTCTCTTTTTTGCAAGATAAGCCGGATGCATTAGTTTCAACTTGTCACGATCAGCTCTGACACAAGTATCCTACCTTAAATTGAATTTAGTGTAAGCCTTTGGAAAAAAAAAGAAGTTTTCATTACAGCAAACAAAGAGAATATCCCTTACATGTTCCATGCCCTTAACTTAAATATCCAAATTTACATTACATAATTCTACACACATTGCCAATTATTTCCTACAACTTTGCCAATATCCCTTTGATATCCTTTCTTTTAAAAGATGTTTAATTTTTTTTTAAAATTATGTATCGAAAAAAGTTTTCCCCAATTTATTTTTCCTGATAGTGTGATAATGGAAAAATCAATGTAATTAATCAATGCTTAGTATTCATTTGCTAGCTTAATGAAACCCTCTGTCTCAGCCGTGTTGAAAGAGCTGGGTGCTGCTTGGCCTTCCTACTTCTTGCTATGATTACAAGCGCAATGTTTTATAGCGGAGCCCCTGATGCTGGCAGGAAGAGACCTAAAGTGGACTTTGAAATAGGACCTTTAAAAATAAGTTTACAACAGGTAAAAGTTAAATATTACCCCCCAAAAAAAAAGATTTTAAAAAAGAAAACGATCATGACATCTGATTTATGTGTCCATCCTGAAAAGCAACTGAGAATAAATCATCTCTTCTTTACAGCGTTAAAAGAGCTTTCAAATGAGACAACTTTTTTTTTGGCAATGTTAACAATTTATCATTGATTCATTTAATCTTCTAAAATTCATTAGTAGACACATGCTTGGATCAAGTCACCGAAAAACGCGTTCCCTTCCTTTATCATTTTTTTGTTCAATCATTGCAATCTCAAAAAAATGTATCGATTCAAAACATCTACTCGTGTGCATCGTGTCACTTTAATAATTTGTGTTACTTTTAAATGGCGTAATTTCGAACATCATCGTTGAATGGTTCATTTGCAGATCTATTATTCACTGGCCTCAGCTGTCATCACTGCTGTTCCAATGATGTTACTCATGGCAATTTTCAAAAAGGCAAGAACCAGACTGGAAAGTGGACCTGGTTGTTGTGGAGGCAAAGTCAGTGACACTCAGGAAATCCACTCCAAGAAAGGTGTGTGTTTTTCAAAGATTAACCGTGATTAAGTACGTTGTCATTAAACACATACTAAAAAAATACTTATGGCACCATAAGCTAAAAAAAAAAAAAAAGAATTTGATAAAAATATAATTACTTAAGATTGTTAAAAAAAAAAAAAAAAAAGAATTTGATAAAAATATAATTACTTAAGATTGTTACTAGGCAGAATGTTGATTTTTTCCCTCCAAAATTTAAGGGCCGAGTAGAATAGTACTTGAGTTACAATTTTTTCAAAAATTAGTTAAGACCGGCGTTATATTTTATTATTTCCCTGCATTTATCCTGTAAATATCATTCATGAAAAAAGTAAATACTTGTTTGATACAGAGTTTACTCGAGCAGCTTTTAATGTATTTAAATAAGAATTTAAAAACATTAAACTCATTTTTCTCAAAACTTCAAAAATGAACTTGAGTACTTGTTCTACTCGGCCCTTGAATTTGATATCTTCTTATTAGATTGTTTCTAGCCATAGGATGTGTTCCATTTAATAAAATCCCTGTGAAGCTACAGCCAAAATAGGTCATTGACCTCCTTCACCACATCCTTCCACTCAAACCTAACTGGTGGTTTTTTCATGATTGGATTCCCAGCTGATGTAGATCTCACATCATCCTTTAATCTAAGCATAGGTCTGCCTTTCAGCAGTTTTCCACTCTGGTTTGGTGTACTCTCTTCACTCCTCTGTCATTTGGCATTCTTTCTATGTGTCCCACCCAGCATAGGCCTGCCCTTGTTTATTTCGTGATCGTGATATAGACTATACAATTCCTTGTTGTTTCGTATTCTCAATGCACATTCATTCTTTTTTTATTTTGGTCTGTTAAATTTCCGCACAACTTTTCTTTGCTTTTGTGTAAAGTTTTTACTTCTGAGTATGTTCTTTCTACAGAAGTATGCCAGGGTTTCCTGTTGATATTCTTTCTTTTATTTATGTTAATAATTCATTTCTTTCACTAATTATGGATCCTAGTTATCTGAATTCATTTTCATTTTCAAAAGAGTGGTAACTAATTTTTACTGGTTTCATCTGGTCTGTTCTTCGCTTAACAGAGACATGTATTTTGTTTTTGGTTGTTATTTTGCAGTGCTGTTTGTAATAATGCGACTTTTAATTCATGAAAAATTTGGGATATAACTTTAGACTTTTATACTTGTTCCCTTACAGTGTTATCTCATCAGCATATGCAAGATACTGAATGGGTTGAGCCAATTGGTCGTTGGGTTTTGGTTTTCCTCAGAAAGTATCCTGCTATTTATTCCTCGGGTGTCGATATGAATGCTTCTTATAACTCTCTCTCTCTAATGTTAGGTTAAATAGCATACAAGACAGCGAGTCTCCTTGTCTTAGGCCTCATCTAATCTGAAATTCCTTTGAATATTTTCCCTGAGCCTTGATTTTGCTTTTTGAGTTCATGTATTAGTTTTAAATGTAACACTTGTTAGTAAAGAACCAATTAGAATTAAAATTATTTCTTTTCAACAGCTTATAATTGAAACTTAAATAGAAATACAATTATATTAAATCATTTGGAAAACATTTTAATAGTATTTTTTTAAATATAATTACATTTAAAAAGTTCGTTTGCATTTGAATTTAGACTATAAAATTATAGCTGCAGAGTTGAAGATTTTAATAATTCATAACATATTAATAAATATTTTTGTAGTTTCATTGCAAGAGAACAAATCTAAATGCTGTACTTTTCCTTGGATGGCAAAGCTGGAAAGTCAGTTACAAATCCTTGAGAAAATACTGTTGATAAGACCAGGTAAATTTCAGTGTTTTCAATATTTTTTTCATCACGAGTCGAAAATAGTTCTGTTTCCCCCTAAATCACTCACATATTAATCGATAAAAATCTATGTTGAGTTTAATCCCATATAACATAAGTCTATATTTCCCTGGATCATGCAAACTTCAAGAAACATGCAATGTAGGTGTTCAAATTTGACATAAAGTGCCTTGGCAAAACGTGGGTGCATCAAGGGATCTCTGACTAGAAAGAAAAGAACCACTGCACTGGAAAACGCTTTTCACATTCAGATATTTCTGGCGATACACTATAAAGAGCTTCTCTCATCCCTTTACTGGATTGTTAGCACTAAAACATTATTTCCAATGTAACCTATTTTTTTTAAAAAGGTGTACAGTGTATATTATTCAGCATAATGCTCAGACTACAATTATCTTATTTTTTAAAGG